AACAATCTCAACTACAAAAAATTTGCAAGTTCTATCAGAAGGATTGTTTTCTGAATTTATTTTCCAGAACAAAGCCCTGTCACTTCAGCAGACTTTAGCATGCATTTACAACCAAGGGCCTTCTCCATAATCACAATACAGCCATGAAAATCGGAAAACTGGCACTCACACATTCTCTCACCGTATCCTCAAGACACATGTATCCAGTAACATCCTTCACAGCAAACCATCCAGTTCAGTACCACATGTTGCCCTTAGGTCTCAGGATACCTCAGCTTCCTTCTATCTCCGTAACAATTCCACAGTCTCACTTGACTTTTATGATGTAGGTACTTTAAAAATATATTTTGTGTGCTCAAGGTCAGTAAATTTGGCAAGAATGTCACAGATTTGATACTCTGTCCTCCTATGCTCCTATCAGGAAGCCATAATTTCTGTGTGTCCCTTACTAGTGAGGTCAACTTTGATCCCCTGATTATAATGGTAACTTACTTGTTCACTTTTTAGTATTATGAGGGAGAGATATTTTGAGACTGTCCACATTTTATTTCACATCAAACTGTTTTTATGAGAATACATGGTCTCCTAATTTATTGAGTAGATTATTATCTTTATTATATCTTTGGAAAAGAGGAAGAACTATGCGATATTTTGAAAACTTTTTTTGAGCAGCCTTTATTCCTACTGCCTTGCGTTATCGATATTCTCACTTATTTTCTTCTTCTGACAAATTAATCTCTAAAAGAGAGGGAAGGGTAGCCAACAAGGAAAAGGCGACTGTTCCTTTATTCATTCACCCACTTAACTAATATCTAGTGAGAACCTCATGTGTATCAGACACTTGATCAGACTGTAACTTCAGTGTCTGGATTCAAACTCGAGTTTTACTTCTCCTGCAGTGAATCCAGTGAGATTTAAGGAGGTGTAGACAATATATGTCCCTGTCACCAGGAGGCTGCTGTGAATCTTATCTTCACTAGCGATATGTTCATAGATGTTCGAATGTTCACATGGATCTCAAATTCAGGACTCATGTTAGGGTTCTGGTCTTTACTTCTATGGATCAGATAAGTCGCTTTGACAAGTGTGGGCACAGAGCAGAGCTGCTGTTGTCATTTCACTACCCTCCTTTTATAACTCTTCCTTGTCCTTTGCTTTGGGAAAAACTTCATCTCAATCGGCCTCAACCACAGAACCAGTCCCAGCTCCTTCCATGTATTGCTGCTCCGGCCTCTTTTCTTACTGCTTTTCCTCATTCCCTCCACACTTTGTCAACAGACGATCCTCAGATAACATCGTTTCATTCAATATTGTTTTGTTAAAATGTTGATGAGAAAAACAAAACCCTGGTTGATGTTAAGAATGATGGTATCCCAGGGCCTGCTTTCATTATGCCCCACACCACTGCCCCCAACACCCCCAACCGGCCACTTCTTTTTCCTGAAGTTGCAGTTTCCAAGAACTCTGGATGTCAAGAACCACTCGGCTCCCTGCCCTTCCTGTCCTGCTGCCTCAGTTGCTCTCTGGGCTGTTCCCTCCTTCCCCGCCTTGTATCACCCCGCCTGCCCCCAGTGTCTCTGCGGCCCCCCTCCTCACTTTCCCTTCCTTTTCTCCTTGAGGCCTGTCTGTACTTTTTGCATCTCTGTCCCAGCCACTGACTATATTTCCTGTTGTATTGCAGTGTAAGGACTTGGATATAAAACAAACCTCCAGAATCTGAGTTGGGTCACTTTTGGGAGAGGTTTTATTATTTTTAAATACATGGAAAGAAAATCTCTGACTCAAACACATTGAGGCTTAAACATATAATCTCCATGTTGCTGGGTAGTATCAATCACTGCTGCTTAGTTTATTCACTGTTGATACACAAATATCTCTGCTAAGGCTAGTATTTTCTTTACTTATTATTCTTTTATAGAAGATGCTTTTTAAAAAAGCAACAACGAATAATTATTAAATTTCCAAGCCCTGAAGCTGAATTCCCTGGGAGCAAATCCCAGCTCAGCAAGCCGTGGCTACACTGGGAAAGCTATTGGATTTCTCTAAGCTTTATTTTCCTTTTCCATGGCAAGGGGATAGCAAGCACCTCCTCATACAAATTTTGTTAAGAATTAAATAACATAGTCCTTGGAAAAGCACATGACATCTGCTAAGTGCTCAATGCATATTATATATCATTATAGACAACAGTAGATGGTAAATATACTACATAATTACTTATTTATTATAATTAGCTAAAATCCACCCAGTTCTTTATTGTTCTATCTCAAGTAGCAATAACTTTTTTCTTGCCACCATCTCAATCCTAATAATCCCCTCCAGAAAATTCCATAAACTTAATTTTTGAAAATGTAAATTATAGTTAGGGGACTAGAAACCTTTCTCTGTCAGCTGGTTGATTTACCTAAAAGGGTTTACAGATGTTTGGGTCAGCAGACAGTGAGATGTCTCTATGAGCTAAACACTTCCCAGCCTCAGGAGATTACAAAGGAAGGAAAGAAAACCCACCCCGAGTGGTAGAAGGGAAGCTCTAGCATGCCCAAGTCCAGAAATTATGGGATCTTTACACAATTTACAGTGTAATCAACCTCCAAAGTCTGGATTCTGAAGTCACCATTTCAAAAAGGCGCAGTCACTGATGGAAGGAGAAGGCCTTTCCAAGAAAATTCTCTATAGAATTTTCAAACAAAAACAAAACTGAAGAAGCAAAAACAACTCATAATTCAAATGATTGAGTCTAAGAAGAAATAAGTTCAGTGGATAGGGACTTCCAATGACCAGGAAATCAGGGCAAGTTGGAACATCTGGAAAAAAGCCGTTGGTGAAAGCTGCACAGTTTTCTGGAGGAGACTTTGGAGGCCAAAGGAGGATGAGGGGCTAAGTAAGCATTACGCAGTTTACAAAGTAGTCTCAATTTCCCCAGGATTGGTGCAGAATGAGCATCTTTCTAGATGCAAAAAGAGAATTCATTTCATACAATGGATGTCTTAGGGGACCCAGCTCTCTCAAAACCTGGGTTAGAAATAGTGGCGGCACTACAGGCCAGCCCACCACAAGGCAGAGCTGCAACATGCAGTCATGTTTCTAGAATTCAAGACTAAAAACCATGTTTGGCCTCCTCTCACTTTTACCTCCACCCGGGATTGAACCTACCTACGAAGCTTGTTTTCACTCTGTGAGAGTCCATGGTCCTTTCCCCCTCTCCAATTCCAGTCCCTCTAGCAGGCATGACTGAATGATTCTAACGATCGTATACTCAGCCTACTGGAATCTCAGTCATCCATGTGCAAAGAAAAAATCATCATGAGATATTTCATGTTAAGTGCTTAACACAGTAAGTTTCAGAGTAGAGCCAGTAAATGTTGACTATTATTATTGTTATTTTGTTATCTTGCTCTCCTCCTGCTGTAATCTTTTCTTACCTCCAATCCACCCTCCTTGCTGCCCCTGCAAATTCTTCTGGAAAACATGCTACTCGCCACCTTAGGAGTCTATGGTATTAAATTTCTGCCTGACCTATGTGCCTTCCTCAGTTTATTCCTTCATTTACTTTCATCTCTCTGTTCTTTCTGGTTCCAACTCTAGAGATCCAATTTATTCCCTAGTACGCCCCAACATGTATCATTTACCCATTAATTCAGACTTTTTTTAAAGATTTATTTATTTATGCATACAGAACTGGGGTACAGGCCAGAGATGCAGAGGGTGAGAGGATTCACCAGGACAGAGTGGGGAACAGAACAGGCAGATCGACGAAGTACACTGCTGAGGGGAGCAGCGGGCGGGTCAGGAGAGGTCTGCCACACTATGTGGTCATCTCCGGGGCGGGCGGGAATCGAACTCATGCAGAAGTGGCTTAGGCTTCTTAGTGCAGTGCTCCAACCTGCTGCGCCACCAGGGAGGGCCCCTCATTCAGACTTTAATACTGCATCTCTGTTGTAGGCCAGCTACAGGAGGTATTGTTGGAATTAGCAGAAGAGAGAACTCTCACAGAATTTCCACTTAGGGAGGTAACATGTACACTGGTCAGAAAAAAGTTCATTTTGTCATGCTTTCAATCCTACGTGTTGTGTTATAATTAGCCTGTCCCACCCTGGTCTCTCCTCTCTCCAAAGTTCTTTTATACTTAGTGCCACCTTATTTCATAGTTGTTCTATCTAAAAGGAGTGCTGTCTTACCATCTACATTATGAAGTCTTTGAAGGACTTATAATTTCTTTTAAGTGAGTAGTACATAGAAGTTCAAAATAGTTTCCATTGATTTCTGTATGCTGCAGAACACAGATGTCGTCTTTTAAGTTCATGTTTTCAGAATGCATGTCTTTAAAGTTTGCAATCCAATGGAGGAAGGAGAACTTATATTTCTATTAACAGCTGTTCTCTTGGACCAGAGTTCTTTGATGTACTATAGATAGTTGGCTATAGTGTGTTAATAGGTTAACTGAAATTCTATTATAATTTGAGATTTTTTTGTTAGTTTTTTTTTAAATACACCCAGGAGAAATACCTCAATTCTGATTATTATTGTTGTATAATTTTCCCCTAAACTTAATGTTGTAAATCTGTGTCACTTTATTCTATTCATTATTTTGAGGCTCAGAGGTTCAGAAAGGACTTAGCTGGGTGGTTCTCCCTTGCAGTCAGAGGTCAGCCTGGGCTGCGGTCATCTGAAGTTTGGCTGGCTGGATAGCCACACAGGCTCAGTCACTCACAGCTGCTGGCTGTCGACTGGGAATGGGGCTGGGGCTTTGGCAGCAGTGCCTTTCTGTGTATGAGGATCTCAGGGAAGTCCTGTTTCTTCACAGTGGCCAGCTTCCTCCAGAGCAAGCATTCAAGGAACCTGAAAGGAGGAAGGCTGTGTGGCTAGACCATACAGATCATTTCATACTCTGCAGGTGGGAGGTATCCAAGCCTATTCAAATTCAGGGGGAGGGAACACAGGAGGTTTCAGTGAGGGGATGTCAAAGAATTTGAGGCCACTTAAGAAATCACCAGTCATCCTCTGGACACAGTTATTTATATTTCAAATTTACATTCTTCCTAATGCTAACCACATTCAACCTTCCAAGAATATCATCTAACATGACATCAGATCCAGGCTCAAGAGGTAGGGCCCTGCTCAGCGTGTGATGGACTGGGTGAAGCTCCTCAGGTTAGCTCTTCAGGTACAGATCCTCTGCCCGGGGGCTGTGCCGGAAAGAGACAGATGCTATGCTCTGCACGCACAAATAGAATAATGACGCAGGGACTGGGCAGCGTGCATACTCTTCTTCAGTGTGGAGCTGCAAACAGGGCTTCTTCTTAGCTGCAGTTCTCTCTGACCCAAGGGTGAGACTGAAGGCAGCCACTCCACTTCTCTGGGTCTCATTTTCCTCACTGCATGAATTAAAAACAAGATATACCAGAGAGAGGTCTTCCCTCAAAAGTTCTGTTATTCTGTAAAATGCTAAAAATAATAAAACCCAGATATAGACATACCCCCATGCATAATTAAGGTCATTCTACAGCATAAAATGTTAATAAACAAAGGAGAAACAAGGATTGAATAAGTCAACTTTCATTGAAAATAGAAATTTATTTTGAATCAGTTTCCCCACTAGAGGTCGCTAGTGTATCATCTTAAGCGTTGTAAACGCCTTCCCGTCCCTTCGTTCCCCTTCCTGGCCCCTAAATGGCATTCTTGGTGTCCTTTCTTTCATCAGAGTATCTCTCGACAGTTGTCAGAGACATATATTACGACAAAATGACTTGGTTGTGAAGCTAACGACGTTCTGAGTGGACCTAGTGTTCTGAAAATGAAGAGCCACTACTGGAACCTCATCCCTTTTGCTGGGATGTGGTAAGAGGCAGTGAGGTAACTGATAGAGGTGTGAGCTCTAAGTGAAAAGACTCTGTGGCTACCCAGTATCATTCTTTAATTCAGCACAGATATGTCTGCTTTTAATGAGGTAGACAAACTAAAGAATTCATTTTTTCATTCAACTTGTAGGCACTGGGCTTGGCTGGAAGAAGAGAGTTGGTAGCCTCTAGGAATTAAAGAATCAGTTACCGAGTGTTTCTCTTCAGACAAAGTACTTGCAGCCCATCATGCTGGCTGCTGTGTTCCCTTGGATTTTCTTCTTTCCTCCTCCCAGCAGACCTCAGAACCAGCATGGGGCTTTCCCACTACAGCACAGCAAGGCTCGGTGACTTTTTTAAGTTGATGACACTTTTCCTCAAATAATGTTAAGAGTTGACTCTACCCACACCTTTTACAGTAAATCCCAAACTGAAGCACATACATTCTTGCAAATGTTAAAATGCAGAGTTGGGTTGAGGCCCATGGCACTTACTAGAAAAAAAAAAAAAAACACACAAAATACAACTTATTGCAAACTGGTGCTAGTGACTTCTAGTGGTGCCTCTTCTAGTGGTATACGAAGCCATATGAGATCTCCTTTCTCAGTAGAGGCACCCACCCACACAAGTGGAGCCATTCTGTAGTATTTCCCTTGAGATACGAGTTGTATAGGAAAGAAGAAGAAAAACAGGGATGACAGAATGCATGACTACTCAAGTCAGAGGTTTGGAGAGGCGGTCTGCAACAAGTCCCGAGTGTCAGAGGGCACTGTCACCCAGACTGTTTCTTGGCTGTTTGCAGAGAACACTGAGGGGTGAGGTCATGCTTCCAGTGGTCAAAGCAGGGTAAGAGCAGTGGCTCCCCTGGGCACCTGTCCACACATGGAGGCACCAGCGCAGGTCCTCTGCCATCCACTGTGGGCCAGAGGACATGGGAGCACGCAAAGCTCAAAGCTCATGCTGCAGGTAAGCCTGAGTAGCAGGGTCAGGGATGCTGAACCAGGCGCTGGTGTCTTCCTCCAGCATTCCTGCAATCTTATCCCACTAACTTGCAGCTTGTAAGTCACACAGAACCTTAGATCGTGACAGACTTGACAAAGGCACTCCCCCAAGCGTCCCAGATAAACAGAAAACAGAATTATGCTTATGGATTGAAAGTAAGAAAAGCCATTAGCAGCCTCTAGCAATTCACGTGAGTTCTTAGATCAGTTATCATGGTCACCCTGACTCCTGTGCCCTTCAAAGACTCACTTTAGGGCTTGTTAAATCAGAAGCCCCTTTGTGCTCCCAGAGCTCTGTTCAGTCTTGATTTTGAAGCAAATTATTTTATACACATGTAGTGGAACATGTACCTTTCTGAAATGCTGGATAATGCATAGAGAATCCCAGAATCCCCAGAGTATGCCAGCTGGATAGAGGAGCTCAAGGACAACTTCCTTGGGAAAGCTTCTAGAACCTGTGGCAGCACCTTGCTAAGCATTAGATGGTGAAACACCAAACCATCAAAGGTGGGCTCTTGAGTGTAGGGGACTATTCACTACAATTGTTATTTGACAAAATCGTCAATGTTATTTTAGACACAATCAGAAAAGCAGAACTAACCCTATTTCAAACCCTCATGGAAGAAACACAGATCCATAACCAAGTGACCCACTCACCACAGCCTATGGTCAATTTATATTTGGATAATCCATAGAACCTAGCTCATAATGAACATGAAACTAAACCTTTAAAATAATAAGTGAAGAATTGAATGAAAAAAAGATAGGTTGAGTCAGATCTGGAATAAAGGTTTCTTCTTCAAACCTATGCTTGAGCATGAGTGATGGATCAGAATTGCCCAAATCAGTCACCTGTGTACCAAGGCTGCAATTTCTGCCACCTTCAATGATCCATTTAGTTGCCATTATTTTTAAATTTAGCTTTGTTCCAATCATTGTCTGCCCATCAAGGGTTAGTTATATTATTCATGTTTTCCTATCATACTGAAATGTGTAACCATTAAAAAAAAAAAAAAGCTTTTAAGCTTATCATTTACAACCAGAGGTACAGACACCAATCTTTGGAAAACTCTGATTTGACAAAACATTTTCTAGAAGTCTAGCATCAAGACTGCATAGAATCATACCTAATTATTTTTGTTTTTTTCATTTTTCAAAGCTTGATTCCATGGCGCCCCCTCCCCCACCCACACACAAATCCTTCTGAATTCGCACTTGAGAAATTCTAAAAATACACTGGTGACTTCTGTTTTCTCTGTCAAACAAAGGAATGAAATAACCCTAATGAAGTTACCCAACTGTTGGTTATTATCAGGAAATAATTATCTTGAGAAAAGTATACGAAGCCATATGGTGAACTAGCAAGTCTAGTTTTGAAATTAAGTTTCAACATATAGATTATATTCTTTACTCACCAAGTTCTGGACAGCACTTGCTCCCCAATGAATTCAACAACCTTCCAAGGGAAATAAGTAAAAAGGGAAAATGTGAGTTCTTATTTAGGAAAGAGATGAAACACATGTTGCAAATTAATGAGCTTAAAGTATCAACACCTGGTTACACTTGAAAATTATCAAAATGTCTCCATTTAGCATATTTCATTTTAAAATATCCACAGTGTATTTAGAACCCTCTGATTAAGTAAGTTAGATGTTTTTATGTGCATGGCAGGAAAAAGTCAGACTGGAACATCAAAGTGATCCTGAAGTTCTCCATTTTATGACCTGCCATTTTTCCCCTCACGCAATACGTTGCCCTAACAACAGTTTCAATTTGTATTCCTTTTAGTTCTATGAATATTTTAATTTTTGTTTTAAATTTATATTATTATTAAATGAATAATATGAATACCTGAATTTTCTAGATCAAATGAATATTTGTCTTGTAATCAAACATGTCTATGCAGTTAAGGTGTTTTCTATTCGTACTTTTATGTCTCCTTTATTCAGAAGATGGAAACTTAAGGCTGTTTTAAATCATTTTTTCATTGAAAAATATAATGTAAATATGGACCACTGCATAACTTAGGTCTGTACTTAGTGTTCCTAAGAAATTTCATAAAATTTCAACTTCCTTTTTGTGCTTGCTTTTGCATACTGATCTTTTTGGTCATCTTTTTGTTATTTCAACGAAATTTTCCCCAGTTCATTCCAAGGTACAGCTTAACTGTTAATTAGCAATACTGTTTTATCCAGTTTGCAACAGCTGTGAATGATATATTGGTTTCTAATCTTAAAATCATCCTTTTTTATGACATCTTTTATAATTTTTCTGAGGATTTCATTTAAAATTTAAACGATCTAGCAAGGAAATGTTTGGCTCTGGAATTTTAAAAAGATGAATACCCTAATATTAGCATTATTCTACTTTATGGCAAAAATTTTCTTACATTTACAATTTTACTATTTAATGGTGCATCCATAATAAACCATTGGATTTTTAGTCTTTTTTTTTAATATGCGCTTTATCTGTTAATTTTTTAATAAGTTTATTTTTACATCATTTTGTGCCTTTTTCCATCTGAGTTGTAATCCCTGTGGGCTTCCCATCACCAAATCACCTGTGTGCCATCACCATAGTCCAATATATTACCCCCAGCCTCCTTTTTAAGTGTTTTTTTTAATCTACAAATTTTCTTTACATTCTTTTTCCCTCATTGCTATTTATTTATTTATTTTGGTAAACAAAAGGGATTTTGGCTTTAATGAGTTTTGGCCTGTTGTCATTTTGTACCATAACCAGATTTTATTATTTTTATCCGACATATTCTCCTGTGCTCAGTATTTCCAGTGAAAGTTCTAGCTTATGAGCTTGGTCAGGTCAAGTTGCAGTGCTGTGGCTTTTGGCAAGATGATTTCCCAGGCGGCATGTTTGTCTATGAGGAAGCTAATGCCTCTGGTGTCGTCTCCCTGATTAGTGAGGTTGGTGCTCAGGATCTACCCATGTTTCTTTACAGGCTTCTTCACCCACCCCCAGCCCAGCCCTTATGAGATTATCTTAGGCATTATTTTCCTAGCCACTCCCACCCCTTATGAAATTATCTTTTGTCAAACTTGGGAGCCTTTATTTCTTCAAATATTTTTAGTACCATGCATGCTCTTCTTACTCTTCTTCTGGGACTCCACTGGAACAAATGCTAGTGTTTTTGTTTGTTTGTTTGTTTTTCATTTTCCCTCAGATTACTAAGGATTTGTTTGGTCAATTATTTGTCTATTGTTCATACTGGGTAATTTCTACTTACTTATCCTCAAGTTCATTAACTCTTTTCTCTGATCTCCATCCTGCCAGATGGATGTTCTCCCAGTTTTAAATTTCATTTGTTGTATTTTATAGTTCTAAAATGTCCATTTGGTTATAATTTGTAACTTATATTGTGCTGCTTATGTATTAGATTACAATTTCCATTTCAGGATTTGTCATGGTTTCTTGTTCAAGTATTTTTAGAATAGCTGCTTAAACTCTTTTCCAGATAATTTTAACATTAGTATCACCTCAATGTTTGATGTCTCTTGATTTTTATTCTTGTGTGAACTCAGACTTATACGATTTTTCATAAACTGAATAACTGTGATTTGGATTCTGGATATTTTGACTGTTACATTAAAAATCCCCAGGTCTTGTGTAAATGCTAGAAAATGTTCACAAGTCAGAACTTGAGTTGGTTAGGTTAAGTTTCAACCCACCACTTTTGAATTTTGATCCAAATTCACTGCAGTTTGGAAAGTCTGCAGTGCTTCATTTTCATAAACCTAAAAATCCTAACAGTATTTCAATAAGCTAGGCATTATGATACTCCATTTATAGATAAAAGGTTTGATTTCAGCCTATATCACTAGTTATCTTTAATAAGACATTCACTGAACCTTGATTTCCTCATCTATAAAATGGGTCGATAATGCCTAGATTACTGGATTACTCCAATCAAGATAGTAGTATCACAGGGCAGCCCCAAGAGTTCATTCAGGACTTCCTCTCCCCTTAACAATAGGTCATTCCCATTACTCCTCAAGTTCCCTCATGCCCCCTTGTATGAAAACAGCATCACCAAAACTAGACAATGACATTAAAGGACATAAAAGTGAATGCGAACACCAAAGTCCCTAACAAAGGAGATCAGATCCAACAATTGTTCCCAGTCTGAGCTACTGTGATTCCAGTCCATGAATTTATCCTGCCAAGTTCATCAGCAGTTGGTATTGGTTAAAAGGTGGCAGCAACCCAACTGTCCATCAGTGGATGAGGGAATTAACATGTAACTCATACAAACAACAGAATATTATCCAGCCATTAAAAAGGAAATTCTGAAGCACATTGCCACAGATACACCTCAAAACTAATACACTAAATGAAACGTTCCAGCCAGCCAAACGCTGCCTGGTTCCATCTACATCGTAACTGAGGATCTACCTCAAATGCATAGACAGAACGATGGTGGCGGCACGGGGAGAGCTAAGTGAGGTGCGGTGTTTTAAGGGCTGTTTCAGTTTTGAAAGGTGATATTTCTGGGGTTGGCTGCATAACGGTGTGCATGCACTTAACACGAGGCCGGGACCTTGGAAGCACGGACAATGGCAACTCTGCTGTCATGTATACTTGACGTAAGAGTAAAACCCCCAAAATCTGTGCAGGTAGCATAAAAAAAATTGTTTTCGATACTTTTTAGCCTTCGGTGCTCTGTGGTTTCTGCACGGTATGTCCAGCTGGGGAACGGTTCCAAGTGGCTCGAATCGGAGCCCCGATCTCCCACTGCCCTGATGGCTCGCACAGATGCCTCCTCGCGCCCCGCCTCACCCCTCCAGGCTCTGCGGTGCTTGTAACTCAGCTCGCCACGTCCCCGGTTCCCGTTTCTGCAGCGCCCGCATCGCATCTGGCCAAATTCCTCACATCGCGGCGGGTCCTTCCAGCCCATGTCCAGTTCTCAAACACGGGTGGGAGATTTGGGGCGCCCAGCCCCTAACAGGAGCAGGCTCCGGGCGACCAGAGTGCAGGAGGAACCATCCGACCTGCACTAACACGCTTGTCGGAGACACGCGCGGGAGGGGTGAGGCGAGCGCAGGGAGAGACCTGCACGAATTGTTCTGGAACCTGGAAAACCTGGAGGCGCCCAGTGCCTTTGGCCAGAGATGGCGGCGACAGGTCGCTACCTTTTACGCAACGTTAAGACAAACAGGCTGCAGCCTGGCGCCCGGGGCGAGCCACCCGTGAGGGGCCTCCTCCCCGATCACGCGCGCAGCCGGGTGACCTTGGGCGGACCCGTGCGCGCGTTTCTCCCCGCGGGGCGTGAGGCCAAGAGGCGGCAAGTGCGGGGAGGCGCTTTACAAACTCCCACTGAGGTATTTTCTCAGTGCTGAATAGGAACTGGTCGAGAGCACCGAGGGCGCGTTCGGTCTGGGCGGCTGAGGAGAGGGCGCCTCCGCGCGAACGCCTGGGGCCGGCCGGTGCCGGGCTGAGGGAACGCGCCAGAGCGCGCGCTCGCCCGGTCACGTTCACAGGTGCCCGGTTCTTGAATTTAAGTGACTGCTCTGTCGGCCAGGGCTGGGTCATACCAACCTCATTCCCGACAGCTGTCAGAATTTCCCAACCGGCTTTCGGACCCCAGACGCCGGGGTCCCGCGGGGACTGAGGAGCAGGCGCGCGCGGAGCGCCTTCCCCGCGCGTCGCCCGCCCCGGCGCGCTCATTGGCTGTGGCGCCCGCGGGCCCGCCCACGGAGACCTCAATCCTGATTGGACGCCCATGTCCCTTTGTTATGGCAAAAGGCGGGTCCCGGGGGTTTGGCGACGGGATGATTGGGGCGTCGGGCAGCTAGTGCGCAGACGTGCCGACCCGCGTCGGGATTGGCGGGCGGGGGCGGGACTCCCACCTTGGCGCTTGCTCCGTGGGCGGCGAGGGCGGAGCTGCCGGGGTCAGTTGGTCCAAGAGTCGGGGCCTGAGGCGGCCTCCCGATCCCTCCCCCTCCCGGCGCCTCTATCGGCAGGTGAGGGCGTCGGGGGCGGCGAGGGAGACCCGAGCGACTGAGCTGCGGCCTCGGTCCCGCCGAGAGCCCGGAGGGCGGGGCGGCTGGACGCGGCCCGGCTGCCGGGGAGAGCGGCCTGGGGCCAGGGCGTGTGGTGGGCGGCCGAGGCCTGACCCCTGCGGAACCCTTGCGCCCCCTTTCTCTGATTCCTCGACATCCGCCCGAAGCCCCTTGGGGAAGGGGCCCGCCTGCCGCCTCGCCCCACGCCCG